GTTAAAATTATTATTAAATTATTTAATTTGAAAACATCCGTTATATATCGATCGACGCTGACAGCAGTTTGATTAAACGTGTCTAATAGCTACGTAGTTGCCCTGATTATTCCCTCCGAATGGCGAGCATAAATCGAACTTTGAGACTTCAGAGCGTAGTTACGCACCGATCATATTAACGATCGTTTGCCGTATTTCCTGCGTGCTTAAAGTGCCGGCAGCAGCGCGAGACGCGGCTCGAGAGCCCGCTCGCTACACCGTCGATACACGGTGTAATTTCACGGTGCCGTCGATGCAATTCGCGCTTTCGATATGCCACAATTTCTGCGCGAACCGTTATATGAGTTACGGCGTGGATAGGGAACCTGCTTTGAATGGGGAGCACGGGGTTTCCTCGGATACGAACGCGTGCGGCAACACAAGCGCGGATAAATGTGAAACGTGTACGGAGGGCACATGATTGTCGTCACATGATTGTATGTGTGTCGATGTAAAACCGATCGCGTGTCGAGAAGAAGAGACACCGTGACGAAAAAATCTGCGCGCGACGAGATACGTTTTTCTCCGAAATTACCTTAAAACATTTAGTTTATTCTGAAAAAGTTTCGTTCGCGACGAGAATGATTCCTTTAAAGCGAAGCATTCCCGTATAATCAGTCGTCGAAAATGGCCGAGCCATAATGCTCGAGATGGTTAACTCTTGATTGTATCACCCCGTCTCGCGAATCGACAGTATTTCTCGAATCGTGGTTTCGTCAGGGTAATCACGTCGCTACGTTTACCACCCTGGAAGAGCGGAATACAGATGAAAAGGGAGATTCGTCTGTTCGGTCCAGCACGTAAACTTGGTAAATAAAGCTTCGCCCTTGAACAACATCCTCGTTTTGCGCTGCTTCCTTTTTCCGAAAGAAAATTCGCAATACCAAACTCCTCTCGGGTATATGCTGATTTTACGATCTCGCTGTTATACCACGGCGTCGGGTAATATTTCTCGAAAATTGTCGGGACCATAAAATACATAATCGCGACTCAATTTTCACTTTGAAAGGCACGCTTGTGTGCTCCGCCCTTTCTTTTCTCTTTCCCCGCTCGATTTTCCACGCTCGATATGCACCATCTCGATATTTAATCGCGTATATCCTGCCGTCTCGCTATTATTTCATACTTTGCACGTTACTTTCTCCCTTCTTTTCGTTTTACGCGCTTTATTAAATGGTGTCTAACTATACCGACGGCAATCTTCCACACTTGTGCGATGGATTATGATCTTCTTAACCGAAAGGGAGTGATCGTCGCAAAAATGAACCGTATAGTAAAAAGCTTGTTCGCAAAATATTATGAAATTGTAACTATCCCTCGTCAAGAGATATAACCTGATTTTATTAACGTATCTAAAACATACTTTTATAACATTGTCAAACATTAATATGACAAGATAAAAAAAAAAATGAGACAAAGCATGCATATTTGTAATGTATATTTATTCTTGGTAATCAATTGGTAACTGTTCTCAATTTTTTTATATGATAAATTGGCGGATTTCTCTTAAAAAGGAATTACATGTCGAATAATCGAATATGAACGAAATAAACGTTTTGAACATAAAATCTCTGGCAACGAAAATTTCGAAAAGTATTTTTGATATAATATCATGCAAAAAGAAATACATATTTTTATTTATATTTATCCGTATATATGAGAGACAGTGACGGAATCAACCTCGAAGCGCATAGAGAGATGAAAGCTCTTGCTGCTTGACAAGATACGGGACGGAAGAGCGAACGGTGAAGACGCGCGTCACACATCATCGTGCAAACAAGCGAGGAAAAACGCCCTCGAAGTCAATTCGGTACAGGGGAAGGCGGGATGGTGAAACGAAACGCGGAAAGGACGTCCCGTCAGCTGTGGATGCATTACCTTTCCGCCGGGCGTCTTTTACGACTTTTTAGAAAGTCACAACAAAGTTCGACAGCGAGTTTCGCACAATGGCTCTTTGCAATCGTACCCGCCTCCTTTCGACGGTTCCCTCATTCCTTCCGTCCCGGCCATTGTCTTTGCGCATCGTCGGTTGTCCGCAGCATCCAAGTATAAATACGACCGACCGACACCAAATCCTTTATGCCGATTATCCTCAATAAAGTTCCCGGGCCGCTCGTTAAACTGTTTTATCACTGCGGCGCGGAAGTAATTGAGTTTCGATGTTTAATTTCATTAAAAAGGCTGTGAATATACGTCCTAACTCTCGAATTAGTCCAACGTGATAAAACGTCAAGATTACTAAAACAAACTTTTGATGCTATGCATATTAAATCTTTTATTTCTATCTTTAACAAAAATTGTGTTTTCAATGATAAAAGTAAATTCTCTAAATAAATTAAATATAAAATCTACAATATTTTAACTGCCCCATTATTTTACGTGTGAGATTTGGAAAACTGAGAGTCTATAACGCTCTCGATTGATATACATCTTGCGTTTACTCGATCATATTTTAAACAGTCAGTAAATTGCTATATCAGTGACTTGTTACGAAACGCGCCCGCAAACACTTCTCACGCTCTAAAACGCGCATTATCCGCGTTAAAAGCGCATATAAACCTCGCACGGTTCCTCTTTTATTCCACTCGGTAATTTCGCATGTTTCACTCATCGCGACTCGCGGTTAGCGCGAGACCGTAAAAGCACCGAGAGAGAGAGATAAACCGGTACATCTTTCGCGCGCAACTTAGCGAAAAATATCTCTCTCGTTTTGTGCCCCCATCGTTGTCCCGACGCACGGACGCATAACTCGTCGTCGATTACGAAACGGCGCCGGACAGTTATATATGCGGAGAGGAAAAAGGAGCGTCGTCATGGACCATCGGCGCGTCGACCCACAACCAGCATCAGCATCGTCGAGCACAACCACGACGAGTCTCTCTCGATCCTGGCCGATAATAATATTCCATTACAGCAGCAAGACCGTACATCAGCGATCGTCACGCGGACTCCCCTCGCGTATATCGTATCCACGACACAGCGATAGCATCTACACGAGGCGTTAATTACGTACCGTCCTACCGCGTTACACTGGCACTCGAGATATCTCGCGGTTAGTCGAACAAAGACGGGGAGAGAATCGTCTCTTTCTTCCATCTATATCTCTACCTACTGCACCGTCCGACTCTACTCCCGCAGCATCGACCGTTTTCCCTTCTCAGGGATCGCGACCCTCTATCGCGAGACGCAAATATAAGATCGAATTCCAACGTTTGTTCAGAGTCGCCGGCGGCGCGCGAATCTACCGATTCTCGCGTCGAGCGAGATGGAAAGAAGACAGATGTGCCACGATGTTATATGAGAAATCGTCTGTAACATGGAACGTATATAACCGTTTTCCAACGATATTCGATGACGTTTCGCGACGATGGATCGCGAGATGGTTACAGATATACGAATATAAATAATATATCTCGAGTTTCATCATCTGTCGTGGCGAATAAGATTTCATAATTTCTATCGATAATATTATATAGGCACAAATTCTCTCTTAAAATATATCGGCCCCTGGAATTCTCGCTGGAGAAAGAATTGTGAGAAATTCGATAAGAAGATATTACTCCAGTATTTTTGCTTTATATTTTTCCCTTCGAGTTTTCTATTTCTCTCTCAAGTATCTCCTATACGTGAATTTTTGTCAGTACCACATTTCTTTTCATATTCCTTTTAAGGATATATTATAGCTTTCTGAAGCAAGCAAAAATGCATGCGCATACGTACGTTCCATGCAATATCCAAGAATTGTGAATGAATACGCATTTCGCGCGTTTGGTCCCAAGACTCACGCATAGAGTTACCTATTTCTCCGCTTCAATGCCGAACTAACTTACGCCTCGCGTAAGGCTGCAGCACTGTTATAAACACATTCTGTGCGTCAATTGGCTTGATTCTAGTGCCTGCGCGGAATAGGTAATCTGTGTGTTTCAATTATAAACCTAGAGCTGTACACACGAGATGTAGCGTGCGCGAGCGCGTATATGATGCGAGCGTATTCCACACCTAGGCCCGGCACGGAGATACGCGAGGAATTGATAATTCGCAGCCTCTAACGAGACGCCTGCCGGATTATACGTATATAGCACACGATTCCATAAATGGATATTCCGCGTAATCGAATATTTTCAGCTACATTATTTTAACCAATGGTTGCACCACGGTAATTTTACACGGCCGTTAAACACGCGAGCGAGTTTCAGGCATTATTATATATTCGAATCTTCTTTGGAATTACGATTTAAAAAAAAAAAAAAAAAAAACACGAAAAAAAAGGAGAAGCGTATGACGCGGAATTAATTTAACGTGGACTACGCGGCGTCCCGCAGCGACAGCCAATACATGAGAGAAATAGCAAACCATCGAACGAGAAAATAACTAGTGACAGATTCACTCGATGGAAAAGAATTGTGCAGCGGGTGTCGAAGCATTTTACCGCTAAGAAGAATATAGAACTTCTACTGTCTCTCTTTTCCCTCCTTTCACGGTGATTTCAGCGAGTATTGTCGGTTTGACTGACTGAAATTCCTTTCGATCTGCCGTAATTTCGAAACGTCTGTACATTTTCGCAATCACGAGAGTACGCGTTCTCTCCTTCTCTCTTGATTTTATATTAATAAATGATATATAAATGTACCGAATACTCAAACGAGTCGAGTATAGTAGTCTCGAATAATATCGAATTGAAAATCTCGATTTTGTATCTCTTATTACATTAAGGGATGATCGTTAGGGATGTACTGGTAATAAATTCGCAAAATATCTAGGATCGAGTAAAATCCCGAATTACAAAGAGCAGTCGTAAACTTGTTCGGGTGAACTCGAGTAATGTTACCTTATCTGCACCTAGAACGATTCTCATTAACCCGCCGTCGCGCCATTACGGGCTACGTAAAGTGCTCCGTATCTCCCTCGGGCGAAAAGTTATCCGACATATTTGGTATTAAAAATACTTATGCATCACTTACCGCTGTTGCTGTTGCTGTAACGTTCGACCCTCGCTGAGCGGCTCCTACGGTCCTGCAACAAGAAAACAAGTTTTTCGTTAGAAGATATATCGGCAAAGAAGTTTCACTTCGCATTTTTATACACACACCGCGGCAACTTTCTAAACATTCATCTTGTGTTTACAAGAAGTATCGCGCGACCGTTTATGGTGCGTGCATATCAGATGACTAATGTCGCGAGATTTAAAACTCAATTGGAATAAAAATTTTCATTTCTCCCCGCGCGTCTCCTCTTCCACCCCGAGCGTTTGCATTTGAAAATATTCAACGCGGCGAACGCGTAAAAATTCAAATTTTGCCTTATCAAAGTAAGGAATAAGTGACGTCGGTGAGCGCCACCGCTGGTGAACTTTGTAATATGACATATAGTCTCTCCTCACACCCTCTGCCTAGTCGTACGAACGCGCGGGATACCGAATTTAAATTCTTTTCGCAGTTTCTCCGGGAATCCGCCTTAGAAAGCGAGCGGCGGGAGAGAGAGAGAGAGAGAGTGTAAGGTGCGCGACTGCAGAGAGAAATATTAATTCCAGTTCTTTCTCTCTCGCCCGCTAACGTAAAGAAGTAGCGCCGAGCTATGTGTGTGCTACTCATATTCCGAGTACGTAGTGGTAACGGACCCATGAGAGAGGAAGGTACGGAGACGAATAAATTTCCGTCCCGCGAGTCGGTAATGGAAGAAACGGCGGGGGCACGCGTGGTCGGGTTAACAACGCGCACGAGGGTGGATTGTTAAATCGGGGTAGGCCCGGACAATGTGAGCGCAGCCGCGCTCGTACGGAAAACACGCGCGGTCTTATTTTCAGCGAGAGACCGCTCGAACAATAGACAGTAGAAATAATCGAGAAGAATGTTTGTGGGAAAATTAATTAGTTTGATAAAGCGTTACCTCTCGAGACGAACGAATTGGCACGACGATTTTTAGTAGAGAAAACGAAAGAAATTTGAATTTTTTCAAAATTGACTACGTAACATCAAATCTGCCGGATGATATTTTGAAAATCGAATTGTGAAAAGTCTTTCAGATAATCTTCGATTTTTATATTACAAAGTATTTCTTTTTTCTTTCTAAATTCTGGACATTTCTTACGAAACGAGCTGTCCACGTTGATTGTGGCTATCCTGTCTGGATTGATCTTCGGCAACCACATCCTATACGGCTCTTTGAATTTCACGGAACAAATCGAAGGCGACGAGCGGATATCTTGAAATGTCAATGAAATCGCATCGGGGCCACCGAACGACTCTCTCTCTCTCATTCTCGTTTCGACTTTACTACGCGAACGGCGCACGTACACGGTCGTGCCATAGTGAAGGACGCGGAAATGCAGCGGCGCGATGCGGTCAGATTCGCAAGTAGTTTCAGTCGATTGCTGACCGCGTACATTTTGCGGACAATGCTTTCCGAGGGAAAACGTATCCTGGATTCAGTTTCCCCCGCGGGAATCGCACGGGGATGGAGGATGAAGGTGGTCGAAGAGATAGCGCCGGCTCTCTGCACATTGGCCGCATATCGTTATTCGATGCGTAACTACGTCCAATTGCTAGTCGACAAACCTTCCCTCAGAATTCAGCTTCGGAGTCGGCCGCGATGGTCGATAGAACCAAGATGCGACGAGAGAGAACGGAGGAGAAGGTGACGGACGTAGAATAAGAGAGGCATTACAAACAGGCCATACTTTATAGAACGAAATGCAGCCAGCGGCTTGACGCTGTCATTTGCCGGGTGACGTATGCTCGGAAGAAGAGGTCGCTTAAAACGTCCAAACGACAGGAGGAGGATATAAAATCCACCACGATATTGCATCAATGAGTGATTGGTCAATACCGACGTCGGCGTTGTTGTTTTTTCAACCACATTCCTCCGGCGTCTTTATTCTTCTCCGATGTCAGTCAGTCGAGTCACTACCGCGCCTCTTCGGCGGCTTCTTAACATCGCCGTCTAAATTGTTTATTTCCTCGCGCGCTGTTCGATAACTTCCACGGCATGCTACATATCAAACGTAACAGCTCGGCTTCATTGCCTATTTCATTAGCGATTTTACCGTTTAATACGCGTAAAAAGAAAGAAGCATTCGATTTCCGGTTATTCCTACGTCGGACACGTCGCATCACCGATATGATTATTAATAAGCTAATTGAAGTTATTATTTCACGCTCGTAAAAATAATGTACATCCTCCAGGTTGGCCTTCTTGATCTGGTCACCATGTTACGCTAGATTGGCACGTTTCTCGCAGCAGGAGAACCGAAGAAGAGAACCGAAGCGAGAAAGAGAAGAAGGAAAGGGATAGGCGCAGCAGTGGAGACGGAACTCGAGATCGTCAGACATCGCGCCTCGTCCCTTTCGATCTATTATACGGCCGTTGTACACGACCCTCTCTCGTCGTGTCGTAGGTACAACGTGGTTCACGGCGTGGTCGTGCGCAACGAACGGTATGGCACGCTTCCGCGGTAACTCCGTCGAGAGAAGCGCGCGGTTATTATAAATTCTCTGGGAGTAAGCGCGGAGAGTAGGTAGGTAGTAGCCACGTAGCGAGAGCCTCCCTCTCTTTCTCTACGTACTCTCTTGGATATAATAGTCTGAAACAAGTACCGCCACGAAAAGGGCGAGGTCAGCTTGTCTGTCGCATATTAAAGAACACCAGAGCCTGTATCTCTTCTCCTTTGCGCGCGAAGGGCAGGAATGCGCATACGGGAGGTTGCGCCGCGTAAGTGGCTCGTATATTCGCGACGGACGGCTTGTGTGCGGTGGTGGCCCCAAGTATCGACGAACAGGCGGAAGAAGTTTCAGCCCCGCTTCTCCTCGCCGATACGGTCTATTACCGCGCGACGCGGAGACTCACGGAGCGGCGCGAGTAAATTAAAGGAGCGCGCGTGCGACAAGCGCATTGTTATATAGTCTAAGATATATGTTCTCGCACGTTTTACTTTATATTTTATATATCATTTATACATTTTTTTATGCAAGTACATTTATATATATATATATATATATGTAGAGCAAGATAACTATAATTATACGATATACATTTTGATTTGCTAGGCGAGAGAGATACGGTGGAAAGAGAAGCCGCGAAATGTAACATTATGAAACCCGTAAATGTGATTTCGCACGTGATAATCATGGGCCGCGATTATCCGTGGGGCTCTTTTCCCGCGCGCGATTCTCTTTTAATTAGATTTTCCAGCTAATAGAGATAATACCACTTTGTTATTTTACTCGCGTTAAAAATCGCACGTAACGTCCGGCGATCGCTTATTAGCACGTTGATTAGAGTCCTCCGGTTATGCGCACTCGTAATTACATGGATGTTTACCGGTGCTTTACCGTTTTAATTCGCTCGCCCGGATTACGAACGATCTTTTCATGCAAACTGCAACGCGCACAGAATTTTGGTATAAATTGATCGTGCGAAACACACGCACGCAGAAATTCCGCGTTGTACCATCGCAGTTTGCAAGTAGTTTGTAGATAATTAATGTCACGTGATCCTTGGGAAGCGCCTTGCCTAGCCACGTTTATCGGTCCAAGTGCTCCTCCGCTTTGTTCCTACTCGAGAGCTCAATACTGTCAAGGGAAGTATACATCGGCGGTTGACCGTAAAATTAGTAGAACATCTTGGTAACTTGGCTTCGAGTAAAACTGAATCTGCTTCGCGTGTAAGCGCGAAATTACGTCGCGGGACTTTCGATTAAATTCTCAAGCGGGAGAACGGAAAGTGACAAGCGCGCGTTTAATCTGTAGGCAGATTACTTTGTGTTGGGATTTCCGGCCGGCAAAAAAATCGACCCGCGGTCTCGTTTTTCTTCCTTGATTAGCCATTAACGAATACAAACGCTTTAATGATTACACATTGATCGTCGTAAAATCTCCAATCTGTTCAACACGATTAAGGGGTAAGCCGCGTTATCCGGCGAACTAACAAGGGAGTGTGAAAACGTCAGAGGAGGATTTTCGGAAAGACACGGCAATCTTTTCTCAAACGTTTTCCACGAAAAATTTTCAATCGAAGCATGGCGCGTCTCTTTTGTATTCTTTCTCTACTCTCTTCCATCTGATCATTTTCAGATCAATCATAAGGCGAACTGGCGCAAAAATTTCCATAAAAGACCGTGGACCATGTAAAATATCCGTACAAAAAGGACCGCTTTATGAATTCGCGTGAGATCTACCCGGTTGAAACGTGAATAATATGCACCTGCTGCGACGATAGAATGAGTTACGTGCAATCGTTCACCCTAACTCCATCCGAGAATCACGTTCTTGTCGAATATTCACCTGAATTCCCTCACGTTTTATCGTCCGAGTCTTGATTTTCCCGCAATCGAAGGCCGGTGGCCTCGTGGACCGGACATAACCGTCGTCGTTTTCGCGACGTACGATTTCGTCAAATTCCATGGCATTTACAAAAATGCGGCGACGCGTGTAGAATCCGGACGTAAGCATTTTTTCGGATTATCTCGAATTGTTCCCGATGCTTAGTGTTGCATATTATTATAAGGCATATAATATAATTGATTTCAAAGTGAGATATTTTAAGTTACAACAACATAAAAATGTTGCTTTCAAAAGAAGAAAATGTTACATGAAATATTGCAAATAAAATATATAATGTTATACGCTCATATATAATATTATAGTAATAACATCTTTCTATACTTATATATATATTTATGTAAACTCGAAAATATAAATTTAAGTTAAAATTGCAAAATATATCGATGCAACAATATTCACTAACGTGAAATATAATCGGATATACATCACATACTTTGCGAACAGAAAATTTACGTCCCCCGTGAATGCAATAATAATAAAAGCTATATAATAACCAAGCGGAATCATTGCGCGCATAGAAGATAAACCAGCATTCCGGTTCATATATCACAGCTATTAGGCCGAAGCATTTGTGATCTACAGACCTAAATGATATTAATGTAACGGCCGGCCGTATAGTGACCACGCAGCAAAAATATTAATTAACCGCAAACCGCACGTCGTAAAGAACGCGGT